GCTTTTCCCTATCCCCGGGGCGGGAGGAGGCGGGGCGGGACCTGACCGGGAGGAGCGAGCGGAGGTGGGGGCGACTTGGCCCTTCCCGGGGTGTGCACGTGTCCTTTCCCCCCTCCAAGAGCGGCGATAATGGCAGAGGCCCGCGCCAGCGGAGGACACGCTCGTTAATTAGTGAGATGCTAAGGAGGGGCTGGGGAGGCCTGCGCCCTCCGCGTGGCCTTGTGCCCCGGCTCCTGCCGCCTCCGGGCTTCCCACTTGCAGGTCCCCAGCCCTCGGTCCAGCCGCTGCCCCGCTGGAGGTTTCAGTTTGCCGCCCGTGCCGAGTCAGAGCAAAGCAAAACCCCGCAGGGGAGGATCGGGTCCCTCTGTCCCCCTTTCCCAGCACAACTGCCTGGTAGGGACGCCCTGAGACCTGATGGGTTTAGACTCGACCCAGCTTGAACGCGAACATGGTTCCCTTCCTCGTGGTTGGGGCTCTGCTGACTCTTGCTGGGGGCTCTGGGGTTTCACCCTCTGATTGAAACACTGACAGGACAGAATTCCTGGGAAATAATGACAAGCCAAGTCTGCTGAGAGTATGGATTTCCATAGGGGTGTTTGGGGGTGCCAGTTTGTAACCGCTATTTCATCAGTGATGTCTGGCAGGCAGCTAGTAGTTATTTTGTAAAAATAAACTAAACATGGCACGCTTTGAGGGTTTAGGTGTGCAAAAAAAGCAAAATATGGTATATGTGTATATATACATATGTGTATATATGCATACCCACCCAAATTCCTGCCTCGGATAATGGTTTGGGCTGTTGGAGTAGCTCTGCTTCCAAGGTCACCTGAGAATAAACTGCTTGCCCTTTCTTCACATAAACCATACAAGTGTCTCTTCTGAAAACTGAGAATCCAGGAACTGGATCTCCGCAAAAGCCACTGGATGTTTTCTCTGGGAATCAGTCACGAGGCTGATTTCAGTATCCTGGCACAGACACAGACAGGGACTACAAAGAATAAAGGCTGCTCAAGGGACATGATCTGGTCTCATTGCTCTTTTTTTCTCTCCACCCTTTCTCCCACCCCCTCCCCGTTTCCTCTACCAGCTTGTGAACACATTCTTTAGTTTCCTG